ATTTAGGTTTCGGTTTCTTTTTGGTTCTTAAAAAATAAAAAATGTGTTACCTGTTTTGGTTTTATATAAAAAAAATGTGTAAAGTAAAAGTATCGGTTCCGTTTCTTAAATTAATTTAAATAAGGATTCCGGTTAAATTCCGGTACTAAAATTAATTTAAATAAGTGTTTCGGTGAGGTTTCGGTTCCCAGTATTCAAAGGGTTCCGGTTCCAAAACCGGTTCTTTTCGGTGAGGTTCCAGTCCTTGGTTAACATTAATGAAAAAAGAGAAGATAGAGCATACAATGCTAAGATACCTTATTGTTCGCTCCAAGCAATTATTGCTTATCGCGGGACGCTACTCTGCGCGACAGCGACATCTTCCCTCCTCTTCCGATAACTCATCCCGTATCTCATGCCGTTACTATTGAACAACGATTATGATAATTATTAAATAATTGTACGATTGTTGTATTTTATATTGTATATTCTCTTTGTTTTTCTTATAAAAATTATCTGTCGGCCTTTTGCCTCAGATTAAAAAGATTTATCGATGTTATCTCTATGAGATAAAAAAGTTTGTTATTATTATTGTTGCGGCCAACGCCCTTTTGTATTATTATTATTATTATTCATTTTTTTTATTATTCGTGTTTTTTGGTCCGCTATTACAGCGTAAATACGTTTTTTGTTTTATATATTGTGTGATCCGCTCATATAGCGATCAATATTATTATTAATATAAATAATTTTTTGTTGTGATCTGCTACTATAACGATCCGTGTATGGTGTGTGTGGTCCGCTAGTACAGCGAGTAAAAAATATATTATTTTTTTTAATTTTATATTTCATGGTGCACACGGTTGCCGATTATTACTATAATTATTTTTTATTACGTTGCTGTGTGTCACTAAACAATCTGAAAAGTTTTAAATAAAAATAAAAAATAAAAAATTCAACAAAATTGGTAAGTCTCTACTTATTATTATCACCCTTGGCAGCCCGTTGTTGTCAACGTCGGTGCCGTCAAATTCCGCGCGTAAGTCCGCCAGCAACGTAGGTTAGGAGAGGCCACCCCAGGTCGTCCAGGTCGACAAATGCCAACAGCGTCAATCCAGTGGGTCATCTCAAGACTGCAGTAGGGTTAAGGTAGTTTTAAGTCTTATCCCTATTGTTGTGAGCTATGTGGTCATTGCACCAAACCGAATCGGCCACAGAGACCCCCTCCCCATAACTAGCCTGCACCATCCTCACTCCGACAAATAGGTCTTTCGCATCCTCTTCGTTGTCGTCGTCGTGCGTAGAATTGCCTACCCACCAACCATCAGGCGAAAGCACCTAAGGTTGCCAATCAACCACAATAGTAGGCGGTAGGAGTGACACAGGCAACGTCTAACACCCTCCTCATCAACATAATTGTTCTCGGGCATCACCGAGTGGTCCTTCGGCTGTTACGGTTGAACTCTCGGGCGTAAACACTTATACTAAAAAATCTTTTGGGCAAAAATTTGTTAATTATCTTAGTCCCACATATTTCAACTCACTGCCAATTAATATTAAAATAAATATATACGATAACTCCAGGAATCTTAAAAAGTCGAATCTCAAAAAGTTAATTTTCAACTGGTTAGAAACTAATTTAGACTAGTGTTTAACGTTTATGTATAATATAATTCATGTATTTGTTTATTTATTTATATTTTTATCAATTATTGTATTAATTACTAGATTTTGTAACTCTCTACCATCATCATAAGCTTGCTTACAGGTGGTAGATAGATTCATCTTATTATTATATTATAGTAAATTTGCTCTTTTTAAGCTATGTATAATTTATTATAATAAATGAATTTTCTAAGAAAAAAATAAAAAATAAAAATAATATCAACTCAGCTTTTCTGCTTTTACAGGAAACTTGTCTGTCATTATTCATCTGTTATCTATAACTTAAACTTTTCGTTGCTAAATGAATATATTATTATTATGTTGATTAACACAATATAAAATAAAAATGTATATTATAAATATGTGTGTGCGTGTGGGTATAGTAAGCTTAGAGAGTCACACAGAATAGGTAACAATAAAACCTCTACTTAGAATTTACTTTAAGGATTACATAGATCTAAAAATAGTTGGTATGGTTGTGAAAAATAATAATAATAATAATAAAAATACAAAACTAACTGGCAGTCTTAATAACCAATTTATTACATGTATTATTTGAAATAAATAAGCACCTTCGGTATTTCAAATAACTAATAAATAGGAGTTCAAATCAGAAGTTAAGAAAACTGTTTGCTATCTATACTATTTTAAATCATCAAGAAAAGTATTTACTCTAAGGGGGGAAATTCACATCCCTAGTGTTAATAAATACAATAGTTTAAGTTTTCTTACATAAAAGCCATCGCATACGGATTGATGTCCCGCAGCAAACCGTCCAATAATTCTATGACGATTTCGGACAGTTCATGATTGCTCTGTCGTGCAATATCGAGACGCCGGTGGTTAGCCTCTCCGGACTCCAAGAAATACAACTTACAGTAGTTGGCACCTCCCGGGGCAACGGCCACCTCATTGTTGGTCCTCCGATAGGTCTGACCGTGGACAATCCACACTAGCGGTCCCCGCCTCGGCAAACGCCTGTCGTTTGCGTCGCAGGTAAACGCAGCGAATGCCAGAACGTTGTTATACCGCCGAATTTCCGCCCGGAATCTACGGCCATTCTGTGAATCATCTATAAATAAACTCTGAATTAAATAGGGAACGGGCAACAACGCGTGTTGTCCTGCAGCGACCACTTGGCCGTTGTTACAACACGTGGAGAAGTGACCCCGGGACGTTTACTCTTCACTGAAGTGGCGGGCGTTACACTTTGTGCAGACTCTGACTAACGCGCCCGCGTCGTGCCGCTCTGGAAGCGGATGTGTCACGCCCGCCTGCCGGTAAATCATTGGCGCACGCACTCTGGGTAGTTCGACCACTACCACGTACTCAATATCCTCTACCGGGAAGTCGTCCTCCACCACTTCGTCGACCATTTCCACCTCAACTACCTGGAAGTCGTCCTCCACCCCGTCGTCGACCATTTCCACCTCCTCTAACTGGAAGTCATCCTCCATCCCGTCGTCGACCATTTCCACGTACTCCACCAATTCCTCATCCTTTACCACTTCCACGTGCTCCACGTCCTCTACCACTTCCATGTCCTCAACCACCTCCATCTGGACTTCTGCCACTTCCACAGCATCCACCACATCCATCTGGATGTCCCCGAACACCTAAAAGTTTGGTTGAGTTTAGAGTATTTTATTTCCAATGCATAATATAATTATTGTTTAACCAGGAATTAATGTCGTGTGTATCAGTATAGATGTTATACTCGTTTTAGTAATTTTATAAATAAGTAGGTAAAAATAAATAGAAGAAAAAAAGAAGTACATTTAGCTAAATGTGTGTTCAATGTAATCAAGTTAGCTACACCTATATCTAAGCCCTGCTTAACGTAACCTTAATACAATCTTTTACATCGTAGTATAATCTAAAATTGTCATGTAATAAGTAAGCAGATAAACTTACTTTTGTTATAGTTAACTAAATAAATTTTATCTTTAAAATCAAGAGAATATCAAGAAACAAAGAAAGTATAATTGGTTGCGCATTCATAGATATTTATAATCTTTCTAACAACAATAACTTTGAAACATTGTAAAAACGTATTGCACTGTAACACTATAACACTTACTGTTATACAGTACAATACATTTTTACAATGTTTCAAAGTTATTGTTGTTAAAAAATATGTATGGAGGCGCAACCAATCATACTTTATTCTGTGAATTTCTTTTTAATTTCTAAGAGTACTACATGTGAAATTCTAAAAAACTTATCTAGTACACAACTTACAAATGACCTAGCTCAGTAGTAAGTAATGTTAGTAGTAGTAGTAGTAGTAAGAAAATATTTTGTTCGTTGGTTGTAAATGCCCATAATAAAAGTTAAAATACAGTGAGTTGAACTTTTAATGGTTGTGTGTTCATACATAACAGTAAGTGTATGTACTCATATGCAATAAGTGCATTTATACGAAATTATTATATGATAAGTGTATGTTACACTAATTTTAAAGAGTTTTCAATGTGCTAAGATCAAGTACATCTATATCTATCACCACTATGTATCAAATAACACACATTAGTAGTAAATATGTTACTCTGTATAACATTATATAATATTATTTTTGTGCATTGAATGTCAAAATCCATACTCAAAGCTTAACCTTATCTTAATACATAAAAGTATAATCTAAAATTTACATTGTAGTATGCAGATTAACTGACTTTTGTTGTAGTTAAATAAATAAATTTTAACTTTAAAATCAAGTACTAATCAAAAAACAAAGAAATTCACAGAAGAATGTTTAGTTGGTTGCGCATTCATATACCGTGTGTCCCAAAAATCAGGGGCCACTTTACTACTCATTACCATGTAAATATTTTTCAATTCTGTTTGCGGGACATAAAACTAGACTAATGGATCGTAAATTTCTTTGACTCACAATGTTTTTAACTCATGTATCTTGCGCATGCGCAATAAAACTTACATTTTTTTAAAGGCAACCCGTAATTTTAATATCATATTCGGGTTCATCAATTTTTTTCAAGCCATTTTGATGTATCAACTTATGTCCTAAACCCAAAATTGACTAAACTAGAGCTAAGTAGAATTTAAATAATTTAAAAATTCAATTAAACTAATTTTTTTTTCTAACTGTACATACTTATTTTTTTCTTCTAAGCACGGTGAAACAAACAAACAAACAATCAAAATTATTATTATTAAACTAATTAGGTACCTAACTATTTACTATTTATGAATTATTATCTTATTTTATTATAACGCATTATAAAATAACATAGTTTAAACATGTATTTTCAAGAAACAACATTTCTATTTTATTTTTTTTACCATTACTATACATTTTTATTTAAAATTTAATTTACAGAAATTACAGACATAAACTATTCAATAAACTGTTCGAAAGTCCCTCCATCGTGTAAAGTGCATGCCTCAAATCGACGTAAACATTCAAGATTAGTTGCTGCCAGTATTTGGTTTTCGTTTAGGAGGTAACATGCGTGTGTAATTTTATTCTTTAAATCTTGGATGTTGATTGGAGGATCAGCATACACAACATTTTTCAAGTGTCCCCACAAAAAAAAATCTAACGGTGTTAGATCTGGTGACCTTGGGGGCCACTCTACTGGTCCATGTGTTGCAATAAATTTTTCGCCAAATCTTACTCTCAAAAATTCTTGGACAATTCGGGCATTATGAGCAGGTGCCCCGTCTTGCTGATAATAAATGTTTCTACGTAAATCTAATGGTAAATCATCAAGCAGTAATTGCAAGTCATCATGCAAAAAATCTAAGTATCTTCTTCCCGTTAAAGTTCCGTCATAGAAATGGGGCCCAAGTAACTTACCACCCATCAAACCAACCCATACATTTGTACCCCAACATGTTTGGAAGTTTGTAGGAACAGCCCAGTGAGGATTTTTATTTGACCAATAACGATTATTTTGCTTATTTAATATTCCATTATTAGTAAATTTACATTCATCAGTCCACAAAATATGATTAATTAATAATGGATCATCCTCAGACGTTACCATAAACCAAGAAATAAAATTTAATCTTTTTTCTGGGTCTGTTATGCGTAAATGTTGAACTAAGTCTGGTTTGTAAGGGTGTAGTTTATTTTTTTTTTAAATCTTATGAACTAAAGTTTTAGGTATGCCAACTTCATGTCCGACGTGCCTAACAGACGAACGTGGGTTAAGATGTACATACGCTAAAACTTGATTTTCAATAACTTCATTAACATGTTGATTTACCCGTGGTTGTTGTTGAACAGCATTTGTTCTATTAAATGAACCAGTTTCAATCAATGACTTTTCAAGTTTTTGAACGTAAGTACGATTGGGGTGATACCGATCTGGATATTGCTGAGCGTACATTCTTGTTGCTTCTCGTGCGTTTCTGTTACATTTTCCGTAGATCAATAGTAACTGTACTCTTTCACTATTATTCATGATTAATATTTTATTCTAACAAAATTCAAACTATAACTTTATAATACCTAAAGGTATTGACAATAGCGAACATAAAACGTCGAACTACTAAGACCGCAATGACATATGACTCTGATAATGAGTTCCATAATACCTAATATAAAAATAGCTAATGACATTTTAATAGGTACCTATAGGTAGATAACAAAACTAAAAACACCAGTGCTCATTATTATTTTAATAGATACTTAATTATAATTCTGATGGAAACAAAATTACACTTCTTCTTCTTTTTTGGTTTCGGCCAATGAGACCATATGCAATTTCATAATGTGTAATAATAAAATAAGATAATAATTCATAAATAGTAAATAGTTAATTAGTTTAATAATAATAATATTGATTGTTTGTTTCACCGTGCTTAGAAGAAAAATATAAGTAATTACGTACAGTTAGAAAAAAAAATTAATTTAATTGAATTTTTAAATTATTTAAATTCTACTTAGCTCTAGTTTAGTCAATTTTGGGTTTAGGACATAAGTTGATACATCAAAATGGCTTGATAGGTAGGTACATAAATTGCTGTCGCAGAGACTATAGCATGGAGACAGCTGCTCATATCGGAACAAAAAACCGATAAGAATATTTCTGAAGGAAAAAAAAAAAAAAATCCTACAGTAGGCATCAACTCGGTGACTTGGCTAAACTTGGCTCGGCTCGGCAGGTTGGCAATACAACTTTACGGATCTATCTGCGGGACGCTCTGATACCTTCGGATTTGGAACCTCCCAAGATATTTTCGATGAATTCTGAATCAGAATCTAGTGGGGCTTCCACACCCGGTGAACCTAAACAAATGGGAAAGAAGCCCACACTTACGGAAAGACTACTACTGACCAAGTCGGGTCAAACGATAAAAGATAACGAGCCCCCTCCTACATCAGCAGAGGATTGGCACAAAAGAATGGAAGCTTTTGAAACAATGGAAGGGGAACACTTTAATCGCGTAGGAAGAAAATTAAATGAGATGTTGGAGCAGGTCAAAACAGCTAGAACTGTGCCAAAACTAGTCCAAACTGCACTAGCCGAGGCAATGGCCTCAAACAGGAATGCTATTGTGGCACGCAAGGAGCGACTCGAAGCCAAATCACAGTGGTTGAAACTTCTAGAAGGAAAAGAAGCAGACAATGGTGGATTTGTGATGACCAATGAAGGTACGGGAAAAAGCACACTCTTAGACGAAATTAAGGAAATAAAGAACCTGTTGACGGAACAAGATCGTAAGATTAGCGAGTTAACAGTGAACAAAAATAATAGACCAAGAGAAGTACTGCCGAAAGAGAATCTGATGACGGAGGAAGACGAGACAGCAAATTTGGGTGAAGAACCTTGGACTAAAGTACCTAAGAAAAATTCAAAAAAATTTATAAGAAAAAGAGCCCCAGCTGTGATAGTCAACCGGGAAACATATCGTATGTCGACGTGCTCAAAAAGATCAGGGAAGAACCTACACTGAAGGAATTTTCTGAAGACATAATGACAATGCGTAGGACGGAAGCTGGTCACCTTCTTGTGGAATTGGATGGAGCTTCTACCAATGTCGACAAAGTAAATTCCGCCATCAGGAGAGCTGTCGGAGAAACTAGCACAGTCTCCTCTCTTAGGCAGACAGTAAAAGTTGGTATTATTGGCCTGGATGAGGTAACAACATCTGAAGAGATTGAACAAGCAATCACCTCGACTTTCCAAACAGACTCCGTGGAAAAAATTAACATGCTTAAAACGGCACGGGGTCAACAAATTGCAGTAATAACGGTAAATACTGAGGTTGCTAACAAAATCGTTAACCTGGGGCGCATTAGAATAGGTTATGTTTCTTGCAGAACGAGGATGTGGCTAGATATCAAACGATGTTTCCGATGTCTAGGGTCTGGCCATGAAACTCGTGATTGTCAGGGGACCGACCGATCAAGTTGCTGCAGAGGTTGTGGCAAACACGGTCATTTCATCAAAGATTGCCAGGAGACAGATACCAATCGCACATTGTTTAAAGAGACACTAAGACAGGAGGCACTGCGGTTATCTGCACAATGATTCGTTTTCTCCAAGTAAATATTGGCGTCGGTAGGGCAGCTCAGGACCTGATGGTCCATACCGCAAGGGAACATTGTGCTGACGTTGTATTGGTTAGTGAACAGTACCGTAATTTAGGCGAGGATGTAGGATGGTACAGCGATGTGTCAGGAAGAGCTGCGATTTTTTTAGCCAAGGACATAGCGATAGACGAAATCGGACCAGCTGATACTGGTTTCCGGTGGATCAAAATAAAAGGTATACGCTTCTACAGCGTATATTGCTCACCTAACATTTCTTTGGACGAATACAATGAGTTTCTTAGTACATTGGAAGACAGCGTGCGTGGAGCAGATGGACCAGTACTTGTAGGTGGGGACTTCAACGCCAAGCGGCCAGAATGGGGATCGCAAATATCGGATATAAGAGGGGACACTTTGGCAGATCTATCGTTTTCTCTAGACCTGCAAGTTTGCAATGTCGGTGACCACCCAACATTTACAAGAGGAGGGTCGGAATCTTTCATTGACATAACATTTGTATCCCGGTCGCTTTGGAGTAAGGTGAATAACTGGCGAGTGCTTGAAGAGGAATCGATGAGCCTACACTGGTACATTATATTTGAAATCTCGCTTAATACCTCTCTTCCAGTCCAACCAACCCCTAAGGGATGGAACTGGCGGAAACTAGACCGAGAAAGGTTGCTTATGTTCCTAGAAACAAGAACGGTATCAGATTTTGGAGATACCAACTCTACAGAAGTGCTACCAAATGCCTTAGATGCATACCTTGCGGCTGCGTGTAACCACTCAATGCCCAATAAGTCATACCATGGCCGAAAAAATCCTGGGATTCAAGGAACATATCCAAATGGCACGCAACAAAGCCTTGAGGACAACGGTCGCTCTTTCCCGCTTGATGCCCAATGTTAAAGGCCCAAGGCCAATAAAAAGGAAGCTACTCGCATCAGTGGTTCATAGCCAACTGTTGTATGCGGCCCCCGTGTGGAGCTCATCGCTAGTATTTCATAACCATAAGCAGTTACTTCTAGGCCCCCAGCGGGCAATAGCCCTGAGAGTCGCCAGTGCGTATAGAACGGTATCCACGGTGGCAATATTGGTTGTGACCAACATTGTTCCGGTACACATTATGGCGAGAGGACGGAGTGAACTAAGACGACTGCAAAAAACTGGGATTGAGGACGCAAGGCACGTGGTTGATGAAAATATCTGGAGTTGGTGACAACAGGAATGGGACGATGAAAAGGATAAAGGGGCGTGGACAAAGCGACTCATACCTAAAGTTCGCGATTGGGCAAGTCGATCACATGGTGTGACAAGCTACCACCTGACACAGATGTTGACGGGACATGGCTGCTTCCAGGCCAAACTATATAGCTTCACACGTGCAGAATCCCCACATTGCTTATCCTGTGGAGATAATATTGACGATGCGGAACACACGTTCTTTAAATGTGGCCGGTGGGCAAGGAAGCTTGCAGATCTGGAAGCCACGGTTGACCAAGTCGTTACACCAGAAACGATAATTCCCATCATGCTACACAGTAAGAGAAACTGGGAAGCGGTGGAAAGGTACGTAACTTTATACCTGAGGACCAAGGAAGAAGAGGAACGGCTGAGGAGATAGATTGAGAGGTCTAAGGCGACAGGCGTACACGTCGGCCTGAGAAACAGATGTCCAAACTACAAGTGTAAATAGTTCCAGGTGCAATGCACAGACGTGTAATTTATGTTAAATTAAGATCCAGCTTAGATGCTACTGATGTATTAATTTTAAATCTATTGTATATACGTGTCGCATGTTGAATGTTTAGCATAAGGCGAAAATGTATTAAGTTTGATTATATAAATAAAAGATGGCGGCTCGGCGGGAAAGCAAAGCAAAGGCAGTCCTCCCCCGAGTCCGGCGATAAGATAAAAAAAAAAAAAAAAAGTAGTAGTAGTAGTAGTAGTAGTAGTAAAAAAGAGTGTGTTGCTAATATATAATTTAATATAATCTTGTGTTGGTTACCGTAATATAATCTTGTGTTGGTTACCGTACATGGTCTCCAATGTGATAAAATCAAGTACACCTATATCTATCACCACTATGTATCAAATAACACACATCAGTAGTAAATAATATGTTACACTGTGTTACAAATAAAGTAAAGAAAGTGATAAACACAACGATAAAACACTTATCCAGTACCTACACAACTCACAAAAAAAAGGAGAGTTTAGTAAAGAGTCTAGTAATACCTACTTTGTGTAGTACTAACATTAAGAAAATGTTAATTTATGTAACAAAACGTGAAGTATCCTGTTTAGGTCAAAGTTGATATATAAGTATAGTTGTAAGTTAATCTAGGTATCAAATTTTAGTCAATGTATGAGCTTGACTTAGCGTTTGTTATGCAACTGAAATCTGAAACAGTGGCAACACAATTGAATGTCGTTCAAGTTATTCTAAAATTTGCTTTCTATACATACAATTATAATATAATAAGCTGAATGGAATTCTTATGATAAAATAGACATTTAGTTTTCAAGAATGTTGTACCGAGCCAGTACAGTATTGTCAAGTATGAGTAGGTATAGCAGAGTAACCTAAGTTATGTACAGAAACAATTTATATAATATGTATCTAAGATCACAGTGAATATTAACACGGAATAATCGTAAACAAATCTATTGTATTAACTTTTGAAATAATAAAAACATTTCTAAGAGTACCACATGTTAAATGATAAAATGCCTATCTAGTACACAACTTACAAATAAAGGAGAGTATACCTAGGTCAGTAGTAAGTAGTTGTAGTAGTAGTAGTATTATTTTGTTCATTGGTTGTAAATACCCAACAGAGAGTTAACTGTGACTTACACTAAGTACTAACAGACACTGCTACTCAGCCCCGCTTAGATTAAGGGGAGGCGGCAATGACGACGATTCCGACATGTCACAAACCGGTAGCACCAGTGGTGACATGGGCGCTGGAAACAGCAAAATGCGAGGTCCAACCTCGCCGGGTGGTCAACCGACCAAGCAACCCCGTAGCTCGAAAAAATCTAGCGAAATAAGCGACCTCATTGGATGGATTGATCACACAATCATCCAAGAGAAGGACAAAAAGAGAATAGGTATACAAACGGCAGAAAAACTGCTTGTGAACATAAACAAATTAAGAACGGCAACCGCGACCCTAGCTCATGAAAACAGCAGACTCGCTGGGGAGGTGGAGGGCAAAGACGAAGCCCTTCAACAAAGCCTCACGATATTCATAGAGAAACTGGACACAAAGAACGCTGAAGCCAGTAGTCTGAAAACGGAACTGGACGCGTTAAAGACCACCTCAGCGGTACCACGCCTAACTGTAGCACAACAGTCGACGTACGCAGCTAAGGCAGCAAAGACACCGGCAAGTTCATTAGCCGCGCCTAAAACTGCAAAAGCACCCCCGGCTAAGTCAAAGAAGGCGGCCGAGAGGGAGCAACTGAACAAAAGCAGACAAGTCAAAGCGACATCTCGGTTCGTCGTGGAGATACCGCAGGATATGTCAGTGGCAGACGCGAAGGCGGGAGTCTGGCAAGCGGTCAGGTCGAGGAATAGCAAGCCCAAGGCTAAGACCATCGTAAGCGGCCGATCGCTTATAATAATTCCAGACGACTCCAACACGTTGGAGGTGATAAGAGGCATCAGCAATATTATAGAATTAGGCCCGAAAAAGCCTCGAGTCATAATCCATGACGTCGAGGGCGGAATCAGTCAAGAGGAACTGACAGAGTGTTTGCTAGCGCAGAACGAGGAACTTGGCTTAACTGCAGAGGATATGGGCAACTCAAGACCACTCCACAAGCTGGGTCCGCGGGACAGTGATGTGGTCCATTGGGTCATGGAAGTCCCGCCAAGTGTTCTCTCAAAAATAGAAAACAAAGCACTATACATTGGCATGACGAGATGCAGATGTAAGTTACACGGCAGTTTACCGCAGTGCTACAACTGCCAGCAATATGGCCACACAGCTAAAAGATGTGAGCAGACAGCGCCAACTTGCAGACGGTGTGCAGGCGCACATGATTCTCGCACATGCAGCAATGAGTTAATTAAATGCGCTAATTGCAATGCAAAGGGCCTCATAAGGCTTCTAGCGCAGCGTGCAAAGCAAAGAGCCAGGCTAAGAGAAGCCTGCTCAGGCGCACGGACTTTGGCCCCAATGAGTAACATCATCAGAGTGTTACAAGTCAACATGAATAACCAGCTAATAGTGTCTGAACAAATCAGGGACCGATGCATAGCCGAGCACATAGATCTGGTCCTGGTACAAGTGCCACATACAAACGAAAACGGCACAGTGGTAAACTTTGAAACGTGCCAGCAGGTATCGCGCACAGAAAATCCCGGGGCGTCGATTATAGTAACCAGCAATAGGATCAGGTGCATAAATATAGAGCAGCACACCTCTAAATACGTTGCTACGGCTAAAATAAGCTTTGACGGCAGAGAAGAATCTAGCGTAATCGTGGTATCGGCCTATTTTAAATACGACAAGCCCACCACCGATTTCACGGAAATTATACGCTCCATAGCCCAACAGCAAAGAACCTTGCTAATATGTGCGGATTGCAACGGCCACTCGTTAAGGTGGCAAAACCATGACACGAATGCCAGAGGCAGAATCGTAGAGGAGATGATAGATGATCTGGATCTTTGCATATTGAACATCCCAGGCCCAATTCCGACCTATGAGCGGGCACAAATGGGCTCGTCCAACATAGACCTTACCCTTGTAACGGCAAACCTCGATGGAAAGATCAGAAACTGGGCAGTTTCTAACGACACAGATAGTGATCACAACACAATCAGCTTCGAACTACGCGTGAGTAGGCCTACTCCTAGTGAGGACCCAAAAGACTCCTTCAATACGAGAAAGGCTGACTGGCAAAAATTTCAAAATAATCTGGCACTAAACCAAATGCCCATTGATGGTGATGTGCATACGCAAGCTGAGGCGCTCACAAACATCATCAGGTCAGCCGCACTTGAATCAATTCCACTGAAAAAGCGAAGGGAAAACCGGGTCACACTTTCCCCTTGGTGGAACACTGACTTAGCACACTCTAAGAGAGCCCTCAACCTCGCCAGGCGCAATAACAGTCCAGACTACGCTACCCTACGTAACAGTCACTTAAGGTTGATAAAATCGGCAAAAATGACTGCTTGGCGAGCCTACAGCGATGGCATCAACACCGGCATCTGGGGAAGAGCTTTCAACTGGGCCAAGAAAGGCCCCGGGCCAAGAAAAGGGCCATCCACCCTTAAAGACAAAAATGGACACTTCACCAGCAGTACAGAAGATACAATAAACGTTCTCTTAGACGCTTTCATCCCGAACGACAGCACACCATCCATACTGGCTTTGGTACCCGATGATGGGCGACCCGTGACACTGGCCACGCACGGCGAAATTAAGGAAGCCATATGGAAATTGAAACCAAACAAAGCACCTGGCAAAGATGGCATTACGGGTGGCATTCTTCGTAAGGCATGGCCGATGATTTTCGAAAGGGTCACAGATCTCTTCAACCTATGCCTGCGAACAGAGACTTTCCCGACACCCTGGAAAGAAGCCAGACTGGTAATAATACCAAAATCAGGAAAGAAGGATAGGACCACCGCGGGAGCTTACAGGCCGATAAGCTTACTACCCACACTTGGTAAAGCACTAGAGTCCCTTATCATAAATCGCCTGGCCACAGAAACCGATGTTGACTCTGTAGGCGAACAGCATGGATACGTCAGTAACAGGTCAACGGTAACGGCAATCAAAGCAGCATACGAATGGGTGGACCACTGCCCGAACAGACACATAACTGGAGCTTTCTTAGACATTACAGGGGCGTTTGACCACGTCAGCTGGGACCCCCTTCTCGAAGCGGCAAGGGACCTTGGTGCCTCAGGCAAGGTCAGAAACTTACTAGGAAGTTACCTCAAAGGACGGACCGCCAGCCTCGAGATAAACGGCATAACACGGCGAAAAGAAATGGAAAGGGGCTGCCCGCAAGGATCGCGTCTAGGACCGATGCTGTGGAAGCTCGCAATGGTAGGCGCTTTCTGCGAGGACCCGGCCACATCCAAGACTGTGGCGTACGCAGACGACCGGGGGCGCACGGATCCCGACCGTAACAAAACGACTGGAAAGGAATCTGGACTCACTAATCGAGTGGTCCAAGAAGTTCGGGCTTACCTTCTCCACCACAAAATGCGAGGCGATGACCCTGAAAGGCGGCAAAAAGACCCCTTACAGCATTGGTTTAGGTTCGGATCCAAACGCCGGGAGAATAGAAGGGAAAGACGCAGTCAAGTACCTAGGCATCACAATTGATCCCCGCAGATCTTTCTGGGAGCACATCGTATCCATCAGTAGCAAGTCCACGAACATGTTCCAGCGTCTAAGAAGAATGTCTTCGGCCAACTGGGGCGTGAGCCAGACAACGGCTATGGTCAATTATAAGGCAGTCTTCCTCCCGCGCATAACATATGCCGCGGAAATTTGGATTAAGTGTCTGGAACTGAAAAAGTCCATAGAAAAGCTAGGCAGCATACAGCGAGACGCTCTAAAAGCAGTAACGGGTGCATACAACACTGCATCAACGGCAGCCTTACAGGTCATAGCCGGTCTCATGCCACTCGACCTAGAAATAAAAAGACACTGTGCCAGAATGGACCTAAGAAATGGTAGATGCACGCCCGACGAATACGACGCTAAGATAAACGAACTACTGGACATTTGGCAGGACAGGTGGAATCCGACACAAGACACTCCAAGGACGGGGGACTGGACCAGGAACCTCATCCCCTGCGTAAAGACGAGATACGGACTCCCAATGAAAATGAATCACTATATTAGCCAGATGCTGACAGGTCATGGAGACTTCTATGGAAAACTCCACTCCTTCAAACTGTCACCCAGCCCGAACTGCAGATGAACCGTACAGCATGTCCTACTAGCATGCACTAGAACCACCGAGCAGAGGAACGAACTCAAAAGAACAATCGAAGAGGAAGGTGGCACCTGGCCACCCTACAACGGTACTATTATAAAAACCAGGAAGATCTTCGTGGCGTATGACAAGTTTGCATACGACAGCTTAAAAACAAGAACAGACAGATAGGATCTGTAAAGGTCAGGACGCAGCCACACCAGGCGGTGTATGTGCAAAGTCTCGGGTTGTCCCGGATGAGCACGCACGGCGTAAGTGGCACAAGCGGCGGGGCACGCTCGAGCGTGTCCTGACCAGGGGCGTGCTCATGCACCCAGGGCGAGGAGTCCGGCCCTGTTGCTGGGGCCGTCCAGAATTCAGCATCAGTATTCCCTGCTTGTCGTAAGAGGCGACTGAAAGGGAAATGGCCAGACGAGGCCGGCGTCCGGGACGCGGACACACCGAAATCTCCGGGGACTAGGGTGTTGGAGGTTCTGACTGCGACCTCGTGAAGAGCGAGTCGATCACCTCGGTGATGCCTCTGGGAGGGGTGGCAAAGGCTACCGAGCCTCAAACTTGGGGGTCGCGGCCACCGCGCCAGGGCGACCGCTGCTGGTAAGGGCCCACCGTGAGCCCGTGATACACGATCCTAATCTCGGCAGGACCACAGCTGAGACTCACGGTCGACGAAGCTCGGCCCGAACATCTCACCACTGATGTGCTTTCCTAACGGGAGCGAGAATGGTACTTCGGGATGTGGGGGGGGGGGGCCCGCGGCGTCAAGTTGATTGACGACGTGCCCTCACACGGCGGTCGCGCCCGGCCTCGGTCGCGGCGCGGTCGACGGCGGTTTGGTTTCGGAGTGGCTGTTAGCGGGAGCTAACCCTATGGTTAAAAGACCGAATGCTTGGTCTAGGGGAAGGTTGCCGAGTGAGAAACTCCTTAGCGCCCACCCAGCCTACCGGTGGGGTTATATGCACCGGAGGTTGCCCGTGACCAAAAACGTAAAAATGAGGATAGCTTGCGACCCGACCAGGGTGGCGAAGGGCACGTGCACGCCTCAGCCAACGGTACGGGCGCACTCTCTCCCGACTTCGGTGGGAACGGGTGTGCGCCCGGTGCTCGTGGTCCATAGACGACGCGCGGGCGGTGGTTGAGTGCAACGCCACCGTACGCCGACCGTGAACCTCCGCGGCTCTCGACTAGCGCACAGCGCTAATGTGAGGTGCGCGGTTGTAGCCGCAAGGCATCAAACCCGGGAGTCTTCGTGTGACTTACACTACCTATTTTGTCATAGGCGTAGAATGGTGGGGGCTAAGGGGGCCATAGCCCCCCCCCCAGAATTCTACTAAGCCCCCCCAGAAATTCTTGTGTAGTAGTTTACTGTCTTATACGTCCATATGTGGGAACTTAAAACATTCTCTATTATTTATTTTGATATCCGAAGAATATTTTATTTGATAATTCAAATTTTAAATTATTCATTTATTTATACATTACAATATCATATCGACATTCGACATCAATAACAATAATAATATTTTGTTATATACCTAGTTCTATCTTCTATATTATAAATTAATTATATATAATCATCAGACGACTATAATGACGTTATCGCCGTTCATCGAAGTTTCTGGAAAAATACTTATCATGTTTACTGTTTAGCCGTTTAGGTTAAAAATAGACGGCGATAACACAGCGTTGACGATACGGAGTATTCGTTAATGGTAAATCGGCCAAACTTGTAAACACTAAACAGTAATCAGTATAATGGTATAACTATTAACTACAGTCTACACTCTACAATATATACGCTGATTATTTTATAGCAAAACAAGTTTTCACCGTGTTCTCATCTCACGATCAGTTTTTTTGTTTAAGTGCATTTAAACATCAAATATTATTTTTTAAATACCTGCAATTTTTAACGATGTTTAGTATATTTAATAAAGTAAAGACCACGATTAATAACCCACCCGTTAAAAATCCCATTCAGTCCACTAGTGATAAACATGCTGATGAAGAATATGGAGAAGACAATCCAAGTGTAATTAGTGTTGACAGGTTAGAGGAAGAATCCAGTCAAGAAAAACTAATTGTATCCACTTGTATAGACTCAAGTGATGTAAAAACTATAAAATTAGATCTTGGAATTTTAGACTCTGGACCAAAACAACCGATTTTAAAAGTAAATATTAAATTATAGTTTTTATTAATCATACGATAATACAAGATATTAATGATATTATACTTTTTAATTGTGTTATCTAAAATGTTTAATTAATTGTCTGAAAAATATAAAAATTATTCATAGAGCATATTATAGTATCTATAATTTAGTATTACGTTTAAAAAATTAATTAGTTAATTAACACTAAATTTAATTACATAAATGTAATAACTATAAGTTATAGGTACTTAATTAATAAAACTACTCAGTTTTCACTTTTATTTTTTTTTCAAAATTACTATTTTTTAGAACTAGGTATCCAAAAACTCTTTTTGGAAAGCAAAATCGGTCATTTTCAGACGGCTATTTTAATCAGTATTCATGGTTAGAGTATAGCATTAAAATTGATGCTGTGTTTTGTTTTTATTGCCGAATTTTCGATACAAATAATATTTATATAGCTGATAATACTTTAACAAAAACAGGATTCAGAAATTGGAAAAAAGTAATATTGTATTTTTTTTTTTGCACATAATATTGTATTTAACTCAAGTAACACAATATTAATTTTTATTTCATACATTTTTATTTCTCATGTTTAGCTAAGTGGTAATGATTCCAAGTTAATGAGTCATGAAAAATCAAAATGTCATTTACAATGCATGGCAAGTTGGTCTGGATATTTAAGTGCGAAATCTATTGGTAGTGTAGTAACACAAGTTTCAGCACAAAATAAAAAAGAAATTATAGAAAACCGAAACTATCTTAAACAAATTATTGATATTGTTTTATACTTGACTCGTCAAGGGATTTCATTTAGAGGCCACAGTGAAACAAAAGAATCTTTAAACCAAGGTAATAAGGTACCTACTTAACCTAAGTGTGGAATGTAGTATTTTATATTTGACCATCTGCTTGTTATTACCACTATTATAAAAGTTTTATTTAATAATTTGTTTTATTCAATAAAAGGTAATTTTAAAGAAGCCTGCCAGTTAATGGCTAAGCATGATATACAATTTAAAATTAAACAAGAGAGTAAGTTTAATTTTACAAGTCCTGACATTCAAAATGAGTTGATAAATGTTTGCAGTGATGTTTTAAAAACTAACATTATTTCTCAAATAAAATCAGTTGGTTTTTTTGCTACTATGGTTGATGATGCAGGTACATGACACTACTTGTTCATATATTATCAAATCATGTATTATACTTAGTGTTTGAAAATTTCATGAAATTTAAAAAAATGAAATATTTCGTGAAATATTTCATGAAATATTTCAAAATATGTGAAATATTTCAGTATTTTAATATATTTTGTTTTATTTTTAAATAAGTTTTATATTTACATATAATTTTCATAAATTACCTTCATCACTATATGGTACCTGTATGTATACCTAACCTTTGGTATTATACATTTAAATTGGTATTCAAAATTTTTAAATATTTTAATGTTTAAATGATACAAGTAGGTATAAAATATTATACATGTATATTGTATACTTACTGAATTCTGACATTAGAATTTAGAATACTGAACATTGTGTTAAAAAAATAAATAAATTGTGTTTTTATTTGTGTTAAAAAAAATTTCAATGTTTCACGTTTTTGTGAAATATTTCACAACTTAGTGAAATATTTCAAAATGAAATATTTCATTTGAAATATTTCATGAAATATTTCTCATACTTCAAACACTAATTATACTATTGTATATTACTATTTTAACAGGTGTCATAAAGTAGAATATATGTCTAATATGTTCAGTCAAGAGGCTCCTACAATATTGGTGGTCGGCCCCACTGACTACACCAACGTATTGGACACTTGTAAATACAAACCTATTGTTATGCGACCACACCAATTATACGCACATTTTGGAGAAGTATGGCAAAGCACATACCGGAATTATTTATTTTCTATTAAATACAGATATTATAAAAGATGTATTGACTGGTAAAGACGTCTCCTTAACCAGCCATAAGAATACACAACAGAAATTAATAACAATAACAGTAACGGTGTTATCAATACACCCGATGCTTGACGACAATAATAATAATAATAATAATGATAATACAATAATGATTACGCGATTCAGACGACCAGCTGGGCTCGGTGATGAAACGACGGTGACAATTCGGCGTTATGGTGTACTTCTGGAGCAATTGACGGCGACAATAGGTCTACCAACGGCGGCGTTTGAACATTAGCCCGTAGCCGTTACTTATAAGGCCTCGGTCACACGAGCGTTGAGAGTACGGACGTTGCGACGGACGTTAAGTTATAACGGACGTCACTACCCTAGTCACACGAACGTAGAATATAACGTCAGTCGTTGATTTCGCATCTTATAAGATGGACGATTTGGATACTGCAATTTTTGTGTACTCCGCTATACGAGTATTACGAAAAAAAAAACGCGTGAATCGAAAATGGTGGGTTCACCCAATAAATAGTGAACGATTATTAAATGGTGCATTTTACAACCTTTATAACTTGCTGAGAGCTGACAATGCGAAATTTTTTAATTATTTTCGCATGTCACAAAGCACATTTGACGAACTATTCAATAAAATTAAAACGAAAATAATGCGTCAAGATACAGTTATGAGATCTGCGATACCAGCAGAAGAGATGTTGGCAGTTACTTTGAGGTAATAATAAAATATAAAAAATAAATAATTATATTATTTTATCATTTATAATTACATTAAATAACTAGTCATAATATTTGCATTTATTAAAATTATATTTAATGAAAAATTAAAAAAAAAAAAAACAATAAACCTTTTAGTATGCTATTTGTGCTCCTTAGCATTTGATTAACAAAAAAATTAAAATTAAACATTAGCTTGTGTATTATTTGAAAGTTACATACTATTCGATGACGTATTTGATACTAAGTTTTGTTCGTCTGGAGAAAACTGGCTAAAATATCCAGTAACGGAATTGTTTGAAGACAACGGTGAAATTGTTCGAGCTGAACTTGTTTGTGCCAATTCGTCATGGCTGTACACCGGTATTGTAGACGGGTACACGGGCATAGAAGTGTTATAACTATGATTTAATGTAGATATCGGTACACCGGAATTGTGGTTGAAAATTGGAACGGGTGGTTGGAAATATGGAGGTGTGTTATTGGTTAGCTTTATACCTTGTAGAAGCTGCATAAGTTGGATTCGGAATTGCATTTTTTGTTCCATATTCAATGTCTTAACTAATGGCAATGTTGACTTATAGAAGTTTAGGTCCTCATCATCAGTATCTCGGTTTAGTTCATAACTACTTTGTTGTCTCGAGTCCAAAAACAAAGCTAGTTTTTCTTCCAAGTTAATTTTCTTTTTTTTAGTGGGTGTAGGTGTTAAAACAGTTTTTTTCTGCAGTATTTGAACGATCATCTGTTAAACTTTCATCTGCTATAGCCATATCATCTGAAAATTGTGTTGCATCAGCATCTCCTTCGTTTAAATTTGATTGAATACTACTAGCAGTGGGACGATGTTCTCTATTTTTTTTAAAAAATGAGAGCTGTTCTTCAAAAATGTAACGTTGTATTTTTTTTCGACCACTGCCAGACTTATTGCTTTCTTCTTGTTTTTTTAAACTACGGACATAATTATCGCGTACACTTCTCCATTTTGATATAAGATCTTGTACTGTGTAAAACATATAGAAAAAAAGGTGGGTCAGTGGATGTCACTCTGTTGTACAGTAGGTTACAAGTGGGCCACTGTTTAATGGATGGTATTAAATTTGTATTCAATGATATAATATTATCGTTGTATACGAAAAACGATTCTGAGCTGGGACGGTTTGTTATGTGGATATTTTATATTTAATAACTAAAATCGTTTTTCTTGGTTATTTTATATGTAATTTCGTCCAAATATGAACATAAAAAAGCTAAAAAAAAAACTGTGTGTTTATATTTTTGAGATTTTTTGGTTACAGAATAACCTACTTACGTGGTACATTATTTGTAATTTTCAATCCTTAACGATGAAAGTTGAAAATTTTATCAATTTTTAACTACAAAATAATGTTTAAATTTGTCAAAATTCGAACTTTGAATGCTTATAAAAAAAAATTGTGCCTATGTATTTTTAATATTTTTCAACTACTATTGTAACAATATATAAGAAGCGTCGTTTTAAATTTTCAAGCTTTTCTACCCAACAAATAAAGTTTTATTGACATTCAAATAAAAAAAACCTAAAAAAGTTGGAACTAAGTATATCCGTAAACAGCTCGAACTAAGTCAAAATATTTTGAAAATTTTACCATACATAGAAAATGCTAATATAAACAACAAGTGAAAATTTCATGTTTCTACGGACATTTTTTTAGAATTACACCAAGAACCGAAATTGATTTTGATGAAAATCTGGTTTTTGCGTGAAAATTCCCGTTTTTTCCTTAATTTTTCATTTGTTTTTCACGGCGCTTTTGAAAATTACTGGGAAATTTTTACTTTTGACCCCCCAAAGTACCATATAGAATCACATTCCTATCAGACAAAATACTGTTGAAGAAAATCTAAGCATTTTTACGGTCCTAAAACGTGATGATAGACACAAAAAAAAATGTAAAAAAAAACACACATCATTAATATCAATACATTCATCGCTCAGCTCAGAATGCAGGGTTTAATTTTATGCTGCACAGTATATTGTATATTATACCAGTGGCATTTGTTTATTAAATAAAATTATTTTAATATTAATAAAATACAAACACACATTGAAGTAAAAATTCGAGAAAATGCCATACACCATTAAAATGAATTCTACATGTTACATACTTATACTATATTAATATATATATATTAATTAATAAAATTATAAACCTACTTAATAAGTAATATGTCATTTATTTTAAAATTTCTTATTTTTGCCCAATATCATGGTTAGTATCATGGTATCAGTTTGTACATCATAATAAAAAAATATATAATTTGTATAGGTAGGACTGGATATAAAATATTATTTTGATGTATTAATTTTATTACATTTATATATTTTTGTTGAATATTTTGGGATTAAAAAGTTAACGTTTATGAAATATTTAAATTAGAATAAAGTAAAAATGTTTAATTGTTACATTTTTGGTTAATTTTGTGGTTTTTTTATTTGTATGCATATATTTATTTTTGTTATTTTATATTTTTATCCACATATCCTATTTGCAGATACCTGGGTAGTACAAACAGTCTTCAAGATTTACACTACGAATTTAGAATTGGTAGATCGACTTTATGTGGTATTATACGGACTGTGTGTTTGCAAATATGGGAAGTTATGCACGATGAATGTATACCAACACCAAATGAAGAAAAATGGCTGAACATCGCCGAAGGTTATCAACAACGAGCACAATTTCCTCATTGCATAGGTGCTATTGATGGAAAACACATCAGAGTCATCAAACCACGTGGAAGTGCGTCTCAATATTTTAACTACAAACACTTTTTTTCTGTGGTTTTATTAGCGGTGGTTGACTCTAATTATTGTTTCACGTTTATTGATGTCGGTTCGTTTGGAAAGGACTCAGACTCTACAATTTTTAAAAACTCAACTTTACATAAGCATCTACAAAATAATTCTCTAAATGTTCCAAAACCTAATCTAATACATGGTATTCAGATACCTATGCCATATGCATTTGTGGGCGACGAAGCCATTGGGTTGTCAACAAATATGTTAAGACCATATGCAGGAAAATGCTTACCAGTCAATAAAAGGATTTTTAATTATCGACTTTCACGTGCACGGCGCCATGTAGAGTGTGCGTTTGGAATTTTATCCAATAAATGGAGGATATTTCACCGCCCAATAGATGTTGATGTAGAATTAGCAATTGATATTGTAAAATGTTGTTGCGTTTTGCACAATTTCGTTCGCGCACGTGATGGATATGATTTTGAAGATTCTCTAACAGTGACTGGTATGGAAGACATCGAACTAGATACTAACTTCAACGTAAATAGATCTATTAACAGGTATCGGGATGCACTAGCAAATTATTTCAGTAGTGAATTAGGACAAGTGGCATGGCAGAATGAAAAAATTTAAAATATTATATAAGTACCTATGTTTATTTTTATAGTTAATAGTAATATACTTAATTAATACTTAATTAATATACTTAATATTAATAATATCATATTAAAATAAATAAATAAGAAATCAGTTGATACTTACTAATTATTTTTTGTTCTGTTTGAGTTTTTTCACTAAAATGTTCAAATATAATAGTTGCAACTTCCATCCATCCATCATTTTTCTTATTCCTATCTTTATACAAGTCGTCACTTACATCCCATAAAACTGGCCGTTTTTCTATTTCTGTTATTAATAATTCTACATCCATTTTTAAACTATATAACAGACGAAATTCAGCAATAATTGCAATAATTATTGAACGATTTTCACGATTTCTACGATTAACGCGCGTCAAAACAGCGTTCATGTGACCGAGTCGATAATATCTAATAATAAACTACGACGTCCGATAAGCGCTATTTACGTCCGTCGCAGCATGTATCGGACGTCGTCGACTTCGATCGGACGGTAAATCCGACGGACGTCAAGTGTGTGACCGTGTTGCTAAGTAATCACATAATTCAACAACGGACGTTATGACGTCCGTCGTAACGTACGTCAGTAAAACGTTCGTGTGACCGAGGCCTAATAGTTGATAAGCGTACCGCGTCGGGTTCCGACCCGTAAACCGTAATACGACGACCGACGAACGGTGATCCACAGGTCACGAATACACCGACACGTGGGTTTACTCGTCCACACTACGACTATACCCTATTCAGAATAACCTTGCCCACTCGGCCGACGAAAACTCGTCTGGTTCGCGCATGTCTGTTGCCACGGTGAGCGCTCATGTTTGCTGTGCTGCCGCCGCCGACGCGCCGCAGGCGTATACGTAGTCAACAATAATATCACACGTTTTCAGTACCACAAGTGATTCACGCGTTCATTCCGTAACATATAAAAAAACACCGCGCACTCTCTGTAACTTGCTATTTTTTTAATATTTTTTTGTGAATTATTCATTCAACATGGCAAGCATTTCTAGTGATGAATATGCTCAATATGTCCCATCACCAATTAAAAAGCATATAATGGGAAAAGTGAGTATTATATATAATATAAATAAGTTATCATAATTTTTTTTTTAAATTTTAAAAGTATTTAAATAAAATAGTATATGGTTCTTAGTTACAAATAAGTCCTCCAAGACAGCATTTTTATTAAGACTAATTTTTTTAAATATTTTTATTTCAGGCTATAAGTGAGGAAGTAAGAATCCGGATTGTGAATATGTACAAAACTATCATATAGAACGAACCTAGCATCTCCGTGAGACAAATTCGAAAACAAATATCGGAAACATTGGGTATTGGCGAACGTTCAATCCAGACAATAATTTCTACATACAAGGAGACAAACACGGTGGCTGCTCCAAAACAGACACGTAAGAACAAATCTTTTTGACGAATTTTCAAAAAACGCAGTACGCAGGCACGTGCATAGCATTTGGTTTCGTCGTGAAATTCCGACGGTTGATAAAATCCACCAAGCCGTATCCGCCGACGACAGTTTGCCATCAATATCGCGTACCAATTTATTTCATCTTTTAAAAGATTTAGATTTCCGGTACAATAAACGCAGTAGGAACAGTGCGATGACTGAAAAAAATGAAATTGTTGGATGGCGCAGATGTTATTTGGAAAACATTAAAAAATATCGTCAAGAAGGTCGACATATTTATTTCCTCGACGAAACATGGGTGAATGCTGGCGATTGTACATCAAAAACGTGGGTTGACACAACGGTACGATCTCACCGGGACGCATTCCTAAAAGGTCTATCGACCGGTGCTGTTAATCCCTCGGGCAAGGGCAAACGCCTTATTGTACTCCATATCGGCTCAGAAGATGGTTTTCTACCCGGAGGTTTATTGTGTTTCGAATCAAAAAAAAACACACGCGATTACCATGACGAAATGAATGGGAACACATTTCGTGAGTGGATGGAGGGAATTCTACCTCTACTACAACCGAACTCCGTAATTGTTATGGACAATGCGTCCTACCATTCCGTCAAAATCGACAAAGCCCCAACATCCTCTACCCGAAAGGCGGATATTATCAAGTGGTTAGAAGATAAAGGAGAAGTTATAAATCACTCAATGGTCATCCCTCAACTTCTACTCATAGTCAAACGTTTGAAGCCACTGCATAGTAAGTATGTTATTGACGAACTTGTAAAAGCCAATAATCATACAATATTACGACTCCCGCCATACCACTGTGAGCTAAACCCCATTGAGCTGGCTTGGTCATCAGTGAAGAACCACGTCCGGATGAATAATACCACTTACAAGCTTCCAGATGTAAACAATTTACTAATAGATGGCATAAAACGAGTGTACGCAGAAATGTGGAAAAATTTTATAAGCCACACAAAAAAAGAGGAAACAAAATTTTATGAAGTCGACAATATCATAGACTAGGTTTTGTCCGTGGAGAAATCAGATGATTTGTTGATGACTATCACTGGAGACACATCATCTGAAACGGATTCAGATACTGAATAAAACTGACCATAATTTTTGTAAATATGAATTTAATTTGTGTAAATAAATGTTTAAAAATGAGTAACTATAGTAAATATGACCATATTTTTTGTAAATATGAATTTAATTTGTATAAATAAATGTTTAAAAATATGAGTAACTATAGTAAATATGACCATAGTTTTTGTAAATATGAATTTAATTTTTGTAAATAGCTGTTTAGAAATAATGAGTTTTTAAGAAATATGAGTAATTTTTTTAAATATGAAATTTGTATTTATTTTTTAGTTATAATTTCCTACTACATGTAATAATACCTATTTGGTTTTAATAATAATTGTATACAAGGTAGGCATTGTTTTTGGTGCAGAACAATAAGATAAAAGTACAATAAACAGTTAAGAAATAAAAACTGTAGATTATAACATTATAGGTAATAATTATTATGATCGTGTAATTTATTATGATTATCTGTATACACGGCGGGGGCGGCTGTCGATAGCGACGCATGTCGACGCGGTCGACAACTAACGACCAATCACAGTGCACCTGACTCTCGCCGGGGGGTCTGACGACTGCCGGCGGCTCAGTTGCGGGCGCGAAAGTGAGCAAGGTTATTCTGAATAGAGTATACCAACACACGTACCGTGACGAGGTGCACCGCGTCAATTGAAACAGCGGAAATACGGCCTACCACGAATCCAGAAAACAACGTTTACAACTTTACAAGAGTCGCACACAAGGGACAGGGCCGTCGCATAAAAGCCGATACCGAAGCAAACGGAACGCAAAACGATGACGACAGCGACGAAAGGAGCAACGATGGACTGTAATCCGGCAAAGGTCGTGCGTCCAACTAACTAGCTCAAGCGGTTACGGGGTCTACGGCGGACGTGCGTTATCGGCGATAGCATACTAGACGGACGGAGGGAACGCCACGACCGGTTCATAGAAGCCTTGGCTGGATATCGACTACGGCGCTCGAACACTATATGTGTACGTTATGTAAAAGATTTAGAAGTCTATGAAAGGTTCCTTGGTTTTATGGATGTGTCTGAAAAACAAGATGCACAGACACTTGTTAATACTATTTTTCAATTTCTTGAGCAATCAAATTTGGAAAATATACCAATATTTGCACAGTCCTACGATGGAGCGAGTGTAATGAGTGGTAAAAGAAATGGTGTCCTGAGTAAACTTCTTGAACGATACCCATGCGCTGTTTATACGCATTGCATGGCCCATAGAATAAATTTAGTTGTAGTAGACATGTGCAAGAATGTTGAGGTAATTTTGTTGAAATATATAAAATATAAATTAATTATTTCCTCTAAAATTCTTTGTTTTGTTTTAAGTATGCAAAAAGTTTTTTTAACAGTCTAGAATCATTATACGTATATTTCTCACGACCATCTACAAATAAAAATGGACATTAAAGCATATTCTATTACTCGAATTTCTGATACTCGCTGGGTTTGCAGGTATACAAATTGTAAAGCTGTTAAAGATAATTTTGAAGTGATACTAGAGGTTTTGAGAGAAGAAATTGATGCTAACAGTAATCTAGATGTAGCACAAGCAATAGGTATATTATGATCTGTCTGATATTTTATTGTAATTTTGTATGAATTAATTATAAAATGTTATTAACATTTTATTTTATTTTTAATTAAAAAGGAATTGAAGCTATGATAAAAAAAGGACATTTTATAGTATTTTTAATTATACTTGAAGATATTTTAACAAAAATCAATATTCTTAGTAACCTAATGCAAGAGAAAAAAGCAACTTTGGGAAAATCAGTAAATATAATCAATAGTATTATAAAAACATTTGAAAATAACCGTTGCTCAGAAAAATTTAAAACTGTGTGGACAGAAGTTATAGCATTGGCTAAAGAGTTCAACATTTCATTAGAAATTCCAGCTAAAGGTTATTAAAAAATATTTATAAATTATATTTTATTTTAGAACGAAAAGATAGTTTTTAACCTTAATAGAGAATTTATGTTGAAGTATTTTATGTTATAATATATCTTAATATATTTAATTTGATAATTCCAGGTTCCAAAAGTAAAAGATAAGAAACAACACATTTGCAAAACTATTATGTTAATAATACTACTGGTGCTGAATGTTCTTATGTTAATGTAGATGAACTCAATGAAGAAATAAATGATGAAGATACCCAGTTTGAATACTGGAAAATTAATGGTTATTTTAGGATACTTGACTGTGTTTTATCAGGTTTGAGAAGCAGATTTTCAACAGAAAGCTTGAAAATTGGACATAGTATTGATAACTTTATGAAGTTAAAATATGATGAAAGTTTACATTTTATTGAACATTACGAGGTTAGTAAAATACATGAAAATATATTATTAAATTAATGTTAATATAAAGTTTTTGTTTTTAGAATGCTTTATGTATTGATAAAGACCAACTTAAAGCTGAAATGCTAATTATAAAGAATTGTATTAATAAAGATGATTTTGACATAGATGATATTGTATCAGAAATCAACAAAAATTTTTTTCCAAATTTGTATAAGCTTTTGCAAGTAGCACTTACAATTCCAGTAAGTTCTGCTTCTTGCGAAAGATCGTTTTCGGTAATGCGGCGAATTAAAACATGGCTACAAATTCATTGTCTAACGATAGATTTTTAAATCTATCGTTATTTCATATTGAAAGTAAAAACTGTAATATATCAAGTAGGTACTACACGTAGGTTAGTTATATTATAATGTATTTATAAAAGAAACATGTAGGTGCGTCGGTAAAATCAAGTATTAATTAAATGTTAATTATAATTATTTTTTTGCCCAATAAATATCGTCAAACGAATAATAATAAGATATATAATATAATAATGCAAATATCTATTACGAGAATAACGGGCGAAATCCTAACGATGTGCGTAAAGGAGGTAAAACTCGAATTTTGAAAAAAAATTAACACTCGTTAAAAATGATAAATGTGACGAAAAAAAAAAACGCAAAAAAAAGAAATTCAATTTATCACGGCCGCCTTCAAATTATCGAATTTGCCGGCGGCCGGGTTCGAAACCACGACCCTCGAGTTACTTGTCCTAACGCCTAACCTACCGAGATGAAAATCCGAGTCAAATCTATGACTCTTAAGCCGCGTCGCCGTCCCCGCGAAAGGCGAACGCCGTTTGGAAGGCCGTCAAAGGGCGTTTGAGCGGGCCGCCCTCGGACGTATAATTCGCGAGTTTTGCAAAAAAATCAAACCTCGAGACGCACGTATTTATGCCCGTATATAGCGGTACCTACTCAATACCCCATCGGTACCTACTCTCGTTTAAGCGACGCCGCTCCTCCCCGGGACTCGTTTTCAAAAAGTAGGTCCGCGCGCCGGCTATAAATTTAGCGTGGAACTCTAATACGTCGCCGACGGGGAGGTCAGACGTCTCGTAGAGGTGCCAAACGCGACTCTAGTCGAAATAGTCGAGAAAACCGTAAAACGGCGACGACGCAGCGCTCTCGGCGATCGACTCGTCCGCCGGGGGACTCGTCGACGAAAAAGTAGGGCCGCGCGAAGACTATAAATTTACCGGGGAACGCGAATAAGGTCCGAACGGGGCCGCCCGAGGCCCCGGAGGGGGGTAAAACTCGAAAACTTTGAAAAAAAATCGTGTAAATAGGTCGAAACCGCGAAGAGCGATGAGGAGGAGTGATAACGCTCCGCCGCCGCTATTTCCCTCCATTTTCGTCCATAGCAGTTCGGATTTAGTGCATAGGGGGCGCCCTCGGGTTCACCTTTTATAGTATAAGACTAGATTCGGGTGTTTGTCATCCCGCCTACGGCGGAAAGACTGTGTGGGCGGTGGTGCATCTTTGTCGTTTCGCCTCGAGCAGGGTGTTTTGATCCGGCCTGCGGCGGGAAGGCGGGGTCGTCGGGTATTGTGTTTTGTCGTTTGGGCAGCCCTGGTTAAGTGGTAATTTTTGAACTCGGAAGAGTGTCTAGTCGTAAGTCAGGCGATTCAAGTCGATCGTACGACACAGCCAGCCAGGTAGGCCATCCGAGGATCGCAGACGACGCCCCGGGCGTGTATGTCCGGTTCAGGAGTGTGTGTGTTGAAATCAGAAATTCAGATTTTGAGTTTGAGTATCTAGCTACCAGTCATCTCGGGTGAAAGACGATTCCCGAGTGTCGGATGCAGGGAGTGTGTAAGTCCCTCGTATGCAAGTAGCTAGTAAGGTAGGCATGCCCTGGGCGTGTATGTCCGGTTCTCGTACGTGTGTTGAAATCGGAAATTCGTGTTCTGAGTTTGAGTGTCTAGCCACAGAATAACCAGAATGGACACACGCTGAGCACTCAAAAATCTGTTCAACTTTGTGGAATATCAGTGTATCCATGTATATAATAAAAATGTAAAATTCTTTCTGTCTGGTCACACTGATAAGGGTTTGTTTACTAACTTTCGACATCAGCTGTCCATATATCTGCGATTGTTTACAAAACATCAGTTTGACTTTTGCGCTCTTATTTGAAATTAATATTTTAATTATTTTATTAATTAAGAAATTAAATCAAATTAATCGTAATTTTTGTTTTTTAAATGTATTCGGGAGGAAATAGATGTTGCTTGCTGTACTGCACCAGCATTTCTTCCTCAAAAATTGAAGGAACAAAATTCCATAGATTTCCGAAGGATCTTGCAAGGTAAGCAATATTAATTAGTTATTGGAAGTTAAATCAAAAAGCAAATTCATCAAATGCTATTTTATTTCTATGTGTATTATATTTAATATTATACATATATTTGTTTTAACCAAATTTAGATGTGACGTTTGGATTGAAAAATGTGGTCCAATAAATTTACCTTCTATTGAACCTATAGTTTTGTACAAAAACTATAGAATATGTTCCTTACATTTTGAGGATAAAATGTATATAAATGCTGAAAAGTCAAGGCTCTCAATTAACGCAATACCAACGTTGTTTAAAGGTAAGCATCATTATTCATTGTTTACTTGTATACCTAGTGTACACTGGATAGCGGTGTGCAAAGCTGGTCACTACCTAATTAGAAAGTAAAAATTAAGTAATTTGTAATTATTATTTTTTTTTAACTAGGTAACATTGTAGAAAATGAAATATCATCCTTACATAATAGTGAAGAATTGATACCGTTAAATGACCAATTTGCAATTGACGACCCTCCATCTTGTTCGACACCTCTTGCTTCTCAATCTTGTTCAATACTACGTATGTTACAGCTTATTTTAAATGTTTCTACTGTATTTGCAGATCAGCCTAATCCTATTATAATAATTAATAATCTATTATTCTTTGTTTTAGGTTCAATCAGTGTTGATTCATATGACGCTTCTACCTCTGTTGAAACATCTTCGTCAAGTGTTCAAACACCAAACTTTTTGTCTTCAGGAACACCACGAAAACGGGTACTTCGACATAGACTTACCAATGCTCTCAACACTGTAACAGAATTAAAAAATCAACTACAACATACAACCACAATTGAATACTGCATGCAAGTTTGTAAACAACACTTACCACCATCAATTTTCTTAATAGTAGAGAATAATTTTCAAAACAAAGACAAGTCACAGCGCGGCCAACGATATTCCAAGCAGATAAAGCAATTTGCACTAACAATTTATTTCATCAGCCCCGGTGTGTTTAATTTTCTTCAAAAATCATTGTCTCTTCCAACTGTTCGGACCTTAAGGAGAGTCACTGAGCAATATGATTTACAACCCGGACTAAATGATTTTCTATTTGACTTCTTAGAATTCAAAATCAGCACCTTTAAACCTGAAGCCTTAGATTGCTTTTTATGTGCAGACGAAATGTCTTTGAAAACAAATTTGTTTTACAATGTTTCTAAAGACCAAATTATTGGCTTTAACCAATCTGGTGCATTTAGAACTTACGAGCCAGCTAAATATGCTCTTGTTCTAATGATCAGAGGAATCAACAGCAATTAGAAGCAGCCTATTGCATATTATCTTGTTTCCAACAGCTGTTCTGGCACTGATCTGAACCTCATAATTTTTTCAACTATACGCAGACTTCGAAGTATTAAACTGAATGTGAAATCATTCATCACTGATCAAGGTTCAAATTTTATTAAATTTTCCAATTCCAATCATGTCACTCCTGAAGAACCATTTTTTGAAGTGGATGGAGAAAAAGTGATTTATATTTTTGACCCACCTCACTTATTAAAGTCAACAAGGAACATGTTTTTTAAACATATGATAGAAATCAATGATGAAGTGGTGGACAAAAAATATTTGGATATCTTTTACAACTATGATAATAAATGTAATCTTCGAATGGCACCAAAACTAACTTACTTTCATATTCACCCCGGTCCATTCGATAAGATGAAAGTTCGTTTAGCAGCCCAAGTCTTTAGTGCAAGTGTTGCTGCTGGTATGTCCACAGCATTAAATTGCGGGCTATTACCGGTTGATGCACAAAGTACCATATATTTTATCAATAACATGGATAAGTTATTTGATATATTCAATTCCACAGATATCCCAAATGGTAAAATTTACAACCAGCCTTTTACAAACACAGCACCTCAGACAGACCATTTGAGTAAAATTACTGAAATGTTTAAAACATGAAGGTTATAAACAAAATTGATAAGTCTGATGTAACAAAACGCACAAACTTTATAATTGGTTGGCTGGTTTCTATTTCCGGATTAAGAATGCTTTGGCATTCTTTAAATCCGACCAATAAGCCAGGCTTTTCAATTTGTACTGGACGTTTAAACCAAGATTCTCTGGAAAATTTGTTTGGTACTTTTCGGCAGCAACATGGCAACAATACAAATCCTACTCCAGTTCAATTCATTCAGTCTTTTAAAAAAATATTTTGTCTTCAGTACTTCAAACATTCACCTGGGGCTAATTGCATTGAAGATCTGGACCAAGTTCTAGGCCATATGAATGACAAGCCCAATAACAAAATAATGAATGTGCTTGCTCCTGAGGAAAAACATATATTTAAGTTCAAATCCTTACAAGTTGGTACAGTGGATTACAGAAAACTGAATATTCCAGAGGCTAATGCTTATACTTACGTATGTGGATATTTGATGAAGAAATGTTTAGAAATCCATTCATGTCAAGTTTGTGTGGACTATGCAAATTGCCAAAAAACTATAGACAAATCGTTTCTATTATCTTTTTTTAAATCATATTCTTCAAACAATGACTCTAATTTTGGTAAATTACTAATGCCCCACAATGATTTTTATAATTATATACTTAAGTTAGAAAATATTTTTATTGAACAGTTTCCAATAATTGCCATAAGAGATAATGTTGGTTATCTTTTAAATGATTTTCTATGTAATGTACGTTTTAATCATCCATGTGAGTTATTTAATAAGCAATTTCTTATGAAATTATTTATTCGTTTTAGAATTTTTTCTAGTGTTAAATTTTTAAATAGAACAATGTTATCTGAAACTAAACGTAAAAATAGGAAATTATCAATTCTAAAACATTTATAATTAATATTATTAAATTTTGTGTCATATTTTACCATTTTATACAACTTTTTAGAATTAATTGACTTTAAAAATTACTAATATGTATAAAGGTATCTACCGTATAAGTACCTACTTAATATTATACAATACACATTTTTTATTTTTTTATATATGTACCTAGGTAGTTGTAACTTGTAAATATATTATATACATGTAATTGTAATAAATTTGTTTAAACCTACAATGTATTTTGAGATTTATTTGTTCAATGCACCTATGATCTAAAATATATATTTCATGATCTACACTTACCTATGCTAGACAAAAAATGTTATGTTATTAATTTAAAATATACATTTTATAATTCAAATAAAAATTAACTAACACAGAAATTGAAAAATCAGTTATTCACTTTACAGAGTACAGATATTCATATTTTGGAACATAAACACAAAAGACACTGAGGCGAGTAAGCAAGTTGCAAACTTGCAACTTACAACTTTATTACTTATTAGGTTAGGCTAAAGCACGATTATAAAGATTCTTTATAATCGTCGGCTAAAGGTAACTACTAATTGCCTCTGTTCAGGGAATATCAGTCGCGCTAGAAACAAAGAATAATGGGAATTATCTTTCTACCGGCAGCACTGATATTCCACCAGGTGTTGCATATCTGTGCCCCATAAGAACCCATGTTAAACTGAAAAGGTGTCTCTTCTGGTTATTCTGTGGTCTAGCTATCAGTCATCTCGGGTGAAAGACGATTCCCGAACGGACAATCCGCCTGCGACGGATCGGATGCAGTGGGGGTGTAAGTCGCTCGTATGCAAGTAGCTAGTCAGGTAGGCAATCCGACTACGTGGGATCGCAGACCATGCCCCGGGCGTGTATGTCCGGTTCTCGTATGTGTGTTGAAATCGGAAATTCGGATTCTGAGTTTGAGTGTCTAGCTATCAGTCATCTCGGGTGAAAGTCGATTCCCGCTGTCGTATATTGTAGACAGTCGTCAAAATATTATTTCATATATGTAATAGAGGTGGGAACATTTTAAATTGTAAACTATTGACATAGGTCAGTGAAGCATATGTGCTGAGACAGCGATAAGATTACTATATAACACCGCCGCACGGGAGGAGTCCCGTTGTCGCTGAGTGAATCGGCGAGGACGTAGGTACTGTGGTCGTACGCGTGAAACGTCGAACGTAGTACGGGCTAGGCGATCTGAATTCGCCAAGTATATTTTATTTTGTGTTTGTTATTTAAATATAATAAAAGTGTTTCCGACTTGAAAACCCGAGTTACAATTATTTAAGTCATTCTTAAGTTCTTACCTTTAATAGGAGCAGCGCCGGGATATACTTACTATGTGTCAATGAGGTTTTATTAAACTGAATAGTGCCAAGGTATATGTAATCTTTGAGTCATTTTACTAGATTGGAAATAACTTAGGATTGACAAACGCACACCATTGTACCTCCAAGTTAACAGTGCTATTCTAATTAATTTTAGAGAGTGTCATTAGCTAGATAATACGAGTGTGAGGCGTATAGTAGGTTTACCACGTATTATCCAATACGGGTGATACGACACCGCCTACAACAAAAAGTGCTCGAAACGGCCGTTCAAATCTTAAAAAGCATACAGGAGGTAACAAAATTGTATTTTTTGATAATTATAGAGAACAGTTATCAGGTGTAGGCTTCATTGTAATCAATGTAATCATTGTTATGTTTTCGCGGTTATAACAAATAAGTCGACAAAATCTCATTTTCTGATTGGCTGCTATTTTTACCGCGTCAAGAGACATCTAATGCATTGCCAGCTGCATGTTGTTTGGTTTTTATCAATCATTTCTCAAAACATCTTTGAAGTGAGTACACGTCGGTTATAGTATTAAAATAATATTTCTTAGGTTATGTATCGAACAATTTCAAACGTATTTGAATAAAACAATTATTTTTTTTTTGAAATCTAGCATGCCGAAAGACGTCAGCCACCAATACAACGGCCTTTGTATGCGTGTGTACAATGCACCCGTATACCACAATTCTGTCCCCGTGCGGCGTCCGGGAGGAAACGCCCGACGTAAGTATCTAATAGAAAAAAAGCACATGCGTATTGCATAAGCCAAGTATAACACTAAACATGATTTGTACGTTTCAGGATGTTACAGGTGCCAACAGGTGGGTCACCTGGCGAGGAATTGTGGTAAGTTTGTCCTATTATTTATTTATTCACGTGCTAAGCTTTTGTAAATTTTATCAGACTCCCCCTGCGTGGTACCTACGGCATCACCGGGCGCCTCCTCGTCGGGGCCGCAGCAGCAACAACAACAGCAGCAGCAACTTCAGCGGCAGCGGCAACCGCAACAGCAGCAGCGAGGGTCGAGGCGGCGGGGCCATGAGTTAAGGCAAGATCGCAAATACCAAATTATGTCAATCATCATCAAAAACATAAAATGTATTGTTTTCAGTAGTTTTGTCGGTCAAACGCCGAGGGCGGTGGATTAGCCGGCCGCATCCTCGACTCCAAAATCGACGGGTGAGGAGGTGGGGTTCACGACCGCCTTCTCAACGTCTGCAACTCCAACGTAAGAATAGTCAATATTATATAAATAAAAACATTAAAAAAATATAATTATATACATCATTTTCAGTGTGATCGGGTCAGAAGGTAGTGGGAGGTGGGTGGTCATGGAGGATGGTAAGTTTCAATTGGACGATTTTGTCTACTTCATAATTTATTTAACCATTGTATTTTTTTAAATATTTTTCAGAATGAATAAAGCACCATTTCATGTAATTTTTATTGTTATTTATTATTTCCTTGTTCCCAATTGTTTTATGAACTGTAACGGTAACGTTTGTCAATTGACAATTGTGTGTGAGGTGTGTCATTAAATATTTTAGTAGTTGGTTAACAACAGTAATATATTATTAGTAATAATAAAATAGGTAAGTGATGTGTGTTGCTGGTTTGAAATGTAAGTGTTGAAAACCTTATCTTGATTTTATTCATCAGAATAGAGTTTACTTCACAAAATGTGCTAAAAGATAATTAATCATTATAACTGTAGTCCACTGGTGTTTAAATTTAGTAGTTTTATAAAATCCCACATTGTAATGACATTGTCGGGCAAGTGTTGTAATCAATTGAAAATATTTGTATAGCGTACATTGTTGTAAATAATCGTATTGTTACATAAAATAATGTACACACTAAAAAGTAATTGATAATATAAAATAATTAATAATATTGTTGTTGAAAATATAAAGTAGTTAAGTGTTATCTGTGACAATTAGTATATTATATCATCGATTATAAATACGTTTATATATATATATAAATAATATAAGTATTTATAATCAATGATTATAATATGTAGGTGCTGTTCAAATAGCTTGGCAACTTTCATTTGACTAATTGCAATAATTAAACCATAAATCTGTTTTTCAGTACCAATTAGTTTAATGACTTTCCAATTTTTTTAATATTAGCAGCAACATATTAATAAAAATAATAGTAGTGTGATAAATGTTACTATACATGAGAGTATTAATAAATAATTTTTTTTCATATGATAAGATGTGACAAATTTAATTCTGTGATCACTGTAAATATTGTCGCTGTATTTAACTTAAAAGATTAATTATGTTATTGTATAACCTTATATTCGTACTTCAATGTCTATGGACGACTGTCGAAGTACTATATAATAGAAATTGCTATATTTGTAACATGCCGTATCATTACCTATTTGTTCAATCGCAATTGTAATTACCTTATGACTATGTAACATTGTGTTCAAACTGTAAAATATAGATTTCTTTAAACCAATCTATATTGGTAAGTATTATACTCATATACAACTTATTATATTTTAATAAACATTTACCAACACATTTATTATTTATAGGATTTGCAGTGTTGGAAATCAGCAAGAAAATGATGTATGATTACCATTATAATGTGATAAAGAAACACTACGGTCCCAGATTAGCTCTAATGTATACTGACACAGGTATATATACTAAAACTTCTCTCATATAATACCATTATTTTAATATCATTATTTTTCTAGATTCTTTGATATATTATATAAAAACCACAGACTTTTATGCAGACTTGGCGGCCAACCACAGCTTGTTGGATAGGATAGACACCGCCAACCTGCCTCATGATCACCCATATGCTACATAGCAAATAGAAAGAAGTCCCCAGGGTACTTTTCTGATGAAGTGGATGGTGATATAATTACAGAGTTTTGTGCGTTGAGGGCAAAGTCCTATGCTTTTAATGTATATACTGGACCGGAGGACAGAGTAGGAGGAGGAGAGAAAATGAAAGCGAAGGGGATAAGAGGTCATGTGGTTTTTAACCTTGAAAAGGTTTTGACTCTTGAAGATCATAAAAAGTGTTTGTTTGGGGAAGAAGGATTAGAGGCGAACAAGGAGAATGTCTCAATACGATCATTCAAACATCAACTCATGACGATTAAGACTAAAAAATTAACATATAACAGCTACGATAACAAAAGAGTGGTGCTAGAAGATAAAGTCCACACACTAGCACATGGACACTATAGTATAGAGTAAGTTATTACAAAATATATATTTAAATTATTTTACTTATATTTATAATTTTATAGGGATGATAACGAGCAGATTGATGATTGGCCAGATCATGAGTTTACTTTAGACGTTGCTGGGCGTGAGTGGGAGGAATAGGATAAAGATTTAATGAGATTACTTCTAAGGGGGTACATGTCTAAATAATTAAATACTGTATATATTTCTAATTTGTAAATACTACGTATATATATTGAAAATATTATCATGTTATATATTGTAAATACTTGATTTAGATTAATGCATATATTTTTGTTATATTGTAAAATATCATGAATATTTTTATATATTTTTGTTATATTGTAAAATACCATGTATTGAAAATGTTAGGTTACCTATGTAAAATAAAAAAAAAAACCAATGTTAAAATATTATTGCTATATTTTTTTAAGAATTATTTATAAACCATTTTCTTATAGCAAAAACTTTATAAAATGTACACTGTTTAGGATTAAATTCCATATGAAAAATACAACAAGATAAAGTTTCGTCATCGCATATTTGATCCAAACGAGGGCAGCCCAAGTCTTCAATGTTCCGCGACCATATTATCTATAGCCGTGGTTATCATCTAATGAAAATTATTTCTTATCACGAACGTGTTATCACGCACCCGTTAACATAATATTTGTGTTCAGTTTTTATTTAAAATATTTGTACACGTTATATACGAAATAATAATTCAGGTATGTATGTTAGTAAAAATATTTATTTATTATGTTTTTTTTAAAATCAACTCATTCATTTCGTCATAATCACTACCCCACCCCTCATACTTGTCCATAAGTCTATAGAGTTGCTCGTTATTTCCATCATCACTCCAATCCATTTCGACTGATGGCTGTGTCGTGTGTAATCTTATAGGCGCACGAGGAATTAACATATTCGGTAAATCTATAGATGACGATGATTCAAGTTCTGGAAATAAATCTGTCGACGATATTTCATTGTACTGCGGCGGTGTATTTTGAGGTACCGATGGTTCATGAATTGGGCTCGGAAAATATCGTTCCCAATTATCCATTAATATTATGGGTGACTCCGGACTTGTTAAATAGCCGCTATCTCCAGTTCGGTTCTAAATAATATTGGGATTTGTATTTTATGTTTTGTTTTTTAAAAAATATAAACTTACCAGGGCGCGATTTCTGAGCCTGTTGTTATAGTCCTCTATTAATAGTTCAAAGGGCTGTGCAACCGGACCATATACCGGATTTTGTGCCATAGGCTGTTGATGACGTCTAATAGTATCCGGCGACAAGCTCGATGATAAACGTCTATTATAATCTCCCCAATCACTTTGTGATGAATTAGACATTTTTTTGAAATAACGTGTTTGTATGTTACAAGCTTATAACAAACTGATGAAAACACGCTGCACCTTTTTTGTCAAAAGACCTACTCTTATATATAAACATATAATATATATATATATATATATATTATCCAGTGGCGCCAAACCTTACCACACACGGTTTGTATTTTGTCCGGTGCCACCGAATATATCAACCATATAACATTTTTATGTATAATATTGACAGAGTCAATCCAGTTATAATGACAGTAACTCTTAACTGTTAAATTAATTTTTTTTGTCCAAATACCTACTCTTATTTATAATATATCCGGTGACGCCAAACCTCCCACACTCGGTATATGTCTTGCGTCGTATTATATGAAAACATATTATGATAAAAGTCTCGTTTTTCTTACAAAAGTCTACCGATTTAATTGTATTTAAACTATCAAGACCTGATCTACCATATGCGTTCAACGCCACCAAATATATCAACCATATAACATTTTAATGTATAGTATTGACAGATTCAATTAGGTTATAATGGCGGTATCTCTTATTATATAACTGTTAAAATGATTTCATTTTTTTCTTAGAAAAGTATACCCCACCGAATATATCACTGTCAACTAGGGTATTTCTTATTGTTTAGCTTTAAAAATGTATACCGTCTTATAAAAATCTCCCTATATTACCGATTTAGTCGTATTTAGACTTTCGACACCTATGAACCTAAAATTTTTATTCCTGTGCTACTCTGTTAAAATACTATGGACGCCAATTCGAGTAAATATATATATATTTAATATTTAATATTAGTGCGATTTTTTTTTTCTACAGTCTTAGAAGTAGTGCATGATTATTTCGATAGCACGTTAGAAAACATGCTTTCTCCGTTATGCGGTACAGAAGCTCATAAAACAAAAAATTGTATGGATTGCAGAAAGAAAGCACGTATGTTCTGTTTTTTATATCATCTAGAGGGTCAGTCGTTCTGGTTGGAATTCGTCACCGAAAAGTTTCGGGGAAAACCTGAATGGCTGATACCTCTATTAGCTAGGTATTCAAGCTGTGACTTCGAATATTTTTTGAGGAAAATATATCAGTTTGTGTATCGATTAGAATGTGATAGGGCTCATGCTAACTGGAACTTCTATTTGGCGTGCAGCAGTCTGGTTTTCGATAGTGTTTCAGGGCCCAGATATTTTGATAATCTAGCTTCTAAAACTTATAACTCTAAACGTTTACATGACGAGGACCTGGAATTGAAGAGCGTCCAGATAGGAGGTAATTATTGGCACACTTTAATATTCAGAATTTTCCTCAAGTCATGTGATCGCTCGGATTTAAAAGTTTTAGATTACTTAAATTTACATAATAAACTAGGTCCTGAAATAAAAAATCAGAAAAATACTTTGTTCCAGTTGGGTATTGAAATCGATAATACAAAAGTTAGAGCTTTATATGGTGATCGTGGGTATACTTTTGGGGATACATATAGAGAAGACCGCGTTCGTGAGCGATTATCTACTGAGGAGGAGACTTGGTGACATTATGCAAGTATTTTAGTTTTTAAAATATTACTTAGTGAGAAAAGGTCGAAATAAAATCTTTTGTTATACGTCACATACGGTGAGGATTGTTAGCATGATGGGTGAGTGGTAGCGGGGGTATGTCATCTTATTACTTACATGTTAGAGATGGTCAGTTAGTACATTCCGCACTGTAGTCGTGTTATAACGTTCGCTCCACAATAATTTTAAAATATTTAAATGCGATCAATGTGATTTGGAATTCGTATACAAGACCAATCTGACTGCTCACTGGAAAACACATTTGAAAATGTTTAAATGCGAGCAATGTTCTTTGGGATTCGTATACGAGTCAAATCTGATCGCTCACCGAAAAACACATTCGAAATTGTTCAAATGTAGCAAATGTGCTTCGGAATTTACAGCGAAACGTAATCTAACAAGACACCAAAAAACGCACGATGGTATTCGTATACCGTGTATTAGGTGCGGCATTACGTTCAGTTACAAGACCAACCTCAATAAACATTTGAAAAATGTTCATGGTATGTACCTATTTTCTATATTCACTTTAAATATTTATTTTAATTTTGTCATCAGGTATAGTACAGATCGCGCCACACGTTTTTGTACCAGACTTACAACCTGGTACCTCGCCCGCTCGTAAAGATTGTGTATCAACTACACGAGATAAACAAAATGTTCGCTTAACACCCATGCGAGATAACATGGCGGATGCATTGATGAGTAACGTGAATGAATGCTGGGAGGTTCTCGACACCGCCGATCTTCTCGGGCAAAATGATCGCTTATCACCCATGCGAGATAACACGAAGGATGAATTTTGGAGTAATGTGAATGATGATTTATGCTTGGAAGTTTTGGACACCGTTGAGAATCTTGGACTTCATGATTTTCAAGGTTAGCTATTTCTTTTTATAAACGCGTCATAGGTTAATTTTTTTTTTTTTTTTTTTTTCTAAAGATTCATACACTACACTCGATAATGGTAAACGTGTTTCCAGCGCCAACACTAAATCCGCTGTTAGGGCAAAAAAAATGCGTCTGAATCTCGTAAAGTCTCGAGGGTTTACAAAAATATCTACATCATCAAACAATACTATCACCTGGTACTACGTAAAAAACACCGCCAATATTCAAAACTATACATACTTTCTCGATTCGATCAAATCCGAACTAGTTAATTTACTGAAATCAATTGCAAGTAAAAATCCGATCAAATTTAATTTAAAGCTTGAAGCGACATATAATATACCAAATGTTGAATATTCGTCGGAAAACCGTGCTTTTAAAACTTCGGCTAAGGCGGTTTTCTGTGATACTGGAGTACAGGAAATTGTTGAAGAGGCATTTACTAAATTAATGAAAGAGCAAGACGAGTATGCAAGCAAGGGTAGTGGTTTCACATTACAATGTATTGACGGGTTAATGCTAGGTATATATAAATATACACCTATGGGCGGTTCCTCTTATATAACACTTCCAGTGGACATTAAAAATAAAAAAGCTGTGATTAACCCTCAAAACTTAGATATGCAATGCTTCAAGTGGGCAATTCTAGCAAAACATGTTACAGGAGAAAATAAATGCTGTGTTGGTGATAATTATTTAAAACACGAGAAAAAATATAATTTTTCTGGTTTAACATTCCCAACACCACTACATAAAGTTAAAATTTTTGAAAAAAATAATCCAAACGTGTCTGTTAATGTTTACGGTATCGACAAGAAATTTCAACCGCCAAAATTTCCGGAATATAAAGTTTTTCCTCTTAAAGTAGTAGATGAAGAAAAACCGGACCATTTTGATCTACTTATAACATCAGACGAGGATAACAGTCATTATAGCTACATATCTAATTTTTCACGACTCATCAGGTCACAAAAAACTAGACATAATGGACAAGCAATTTTCTGCAAACGGTGCTTTGCAAAATTCGATAAACAACAATACAAATATAAATTAAACGGTGAGGCCGGGCTAGAGCAACATAAATTAATATGTGGAGAACATAAACCTATACTAGCTCAGATGCCTGAACCTGGTACAATGCTCGAGTTTACTGCATGGAATAAAACGCAACGTCATCCTATAGTAATTTATGCAGATTTCGAAGCAATTCTTAAGAAAACTGATGAGAAAATTGGAGAAAAAACAGCAGCTTTTCAACAACACGAGCCCATGAGCTATGGACTTGTGGTTAAAGCAAATGAAGACATACCAGTAGAACTGCTCGAAAAATTCGAAATTCCCACATCACCTGTAATTTACCGTGGAAATGAAAATAATAAGAACGTAGCTGGACATTTTGTGGATAGTATTGTGGAAATAGCCAAAAAATTGAAGAGTTACTCAAAACAAACATTCCTATAATTTACACAGACGAACAACGGAGAACACATGCATTATGTAATAATTGTAATTTATGTAAGGTCAAGTTTTCCCTAGAAAATCATAAAGTGGCAGATCACTGCCATTTATCAGGGAAATTTAGACAGTCACTATGTAATACGTGTAATCTTAAACTCCAAACACCTAGCTTTGTACCGGTATTTTTTCATAATTTAACGAATTATGATTCACATTTTATTGTCACTCGTCTTGGTTATGACGCACATTCAATTTCGGTGATACCAAACAGTGAGGAAAAGTTTATAACGTTTTCAAAATATATTAGCAACACTTTCACAATAAGATTTATAGACACATTAAGATTTATGTCCGCAAGCTTATCAAAACTTTCAAAAAATTTAATTACACCCGGATTTGAAAAGTTTAGAGAGACAGAAAAATATTTTTCATCTCAAGATTTACCACTTGTTACCCGTAAGGGAGTCTACCCTTATGAGTATACAGATAGTTGGGACAAGTTGGAAGAAACTGTTTTGCCTCAGAAAGAAGATTTTTACAGTTCACTGTACGAATCACATATAAAAGATAAACATTATGATCATGCGAAGACGGTTTGGAATCATTTCAACTGTAAAACACTAGGGGAATACTCCGATCTTTATTTAAAAATTGATGTACTACTGTTGGCTGATGTGTTTGAAAATTTCCGAGACCTCTGTTTAAGCACATACCATCTGGACCCATCATTTTACTTTACAGCTCCAGGTTTTAGTTTTGACTGTATGTTGAAATACACTTCAATGAAGCTGGAATTGTTGACAGATTATGATATGTTGTTAATGTTTGAAAAAGGTAAAGTTATATTATGTGAAATATATTATGTGAAATAATCCTTGATTTTATTATAGGAATTCGTGGTGGCTTGACTCAGGCGAGCATGAGATATGCAAAGGCTAATAATGAAAAGACACCAGATTATGATCCAGCACAACCGAAATCATGGCTTGTTTATCAGGATTGTAAGATCAATTTAATATTTAATTTTCATTAATATAATATATTATTTAACTTGCAGGTAACAACTTGTACGGTTACGCAATGTCACATTACATGCCA